ATGTAATATATATACATACGAGGTCTGTTCAAAAAGTACCCGGAATTTTCGTTTTTTCAAAAAAATATTTATTTATTCGTCTACATTAATGTGGTCCCCTTCAAAGTAGTCCCCCCCAGATATAATACACTTATGCCAGCGTTTTTTCCAATTTTCGAAGCACCCTTGATATTCACTTTTTGATATGTCCTTGAGCACTCTCAGCGATTTTCTTCAATCGAGGAAAACCGCCGTCCTTTCATGGGTCTCTTCAACTTTGGGAATAGGAAAAAGTCACACGGAGCCATATCTGGTGAATTTTTGCACTTTGCAACACTTTATTTCATTTTTACGCAAAATTTAATACAAATTCTTTGACTTTTCAATTCTTCCATTGTAAAAATCGCCGAGCTCAGAAAAACACGTCGAACCTTAGCGACTACCACAGACAAAGTAAACAGTGAATATAGCTGAAAATTTCATCATACTTTAGGGGCATGTATACCAACAATAAAAAAAAAATTTTGACAATCAGACACTCCAGACCCGCGAAATTTAATTATTAGTAATTCCGGGTACTTTTTGAACACACCTCGTACAGAATAATAAAAAAAAATACATATGAACGATTGAAAACAAAGATTGGATTATTTACTAACTGCACTCATGTGACATTCAAAATGAACAACATTGAAATGGTGGACAGTAGTATCCCATCGTCCCTCTTGCCTTAGAATCATATTCTTCAACATTACATCTTTTGCTAAGGTATATACACTAAAACTTTTGTTGGCTGGCATTTATACCCTTCTCTACAAATTACACAAACTAAACCAGTTTCCTCGCCTAGATCTTCCATTTGCCTGCCATTGTAGATTTAGCCGTAACCTAATTCATTTTAATTAAATAACAAAAAATATATACATATAAACTTAGAATCAATAACACTAATATTTTTGTTGATATGTCTACCTGGCCTTTATCATTTGTTCTCATGCCCATAGCTCCAAGTTGTTTCTCTCTCATAGCCATTGCTAATCTTTCTTCTCTGCTCTTGTAAAATCACGACCTTTAATCAAACGTTTTAGATTATAAATCAAGCAAATATTATCTGAATGAAAAAAACCTCAATAACAGTATTTGATTATACTTTATAAAATACTTGAATCATTATAAATATAAAAACAATACGAACATAAGTTAATATTACAAAATGGTAACTTATGATATTTTAATATGTTAATAAATTTCGAGTAGATGAATTCAATTGTGTATATAACTATAAAATTCTTACTTGTTGTACTCTCGCTGCAGTCGCAGGATCTGTTCTCAAGGCTTCAAGAAGATTTTCTGCTAACGATCCAACATGCTCATCTGAAGACACTTGTTCAAGTCTGTGTATTATGGGAATTATATCTTGAGATATCAGTATCTAAAATATATTTAAAGGGAAAATAAGAATAGTATAGACATGTGTATGTGAATTATACAAACTTGTTATAATAAATAAGACATGTATATTTAGCATACCAATCTGCCGAAAAAATGTTTAAATGTATCGGAATTGTATGCAAACAATGATGGATGGACATAAAATTTCAATTTTTTCAATGTCACATTTAAAGAGTTTTTAATAACTAATAAATCTTACCAATTTCGAACATAGTGTTTATTAAAATAAAAATAAATTGAATATTACTTTATTAAAATACCTGTGCAGCTTCATGTTCAGTAGCTAATCCTGTTAAAAATCTTAAAATATATTTCAAAGCAGGCTTAGAAATAAATTCTTTCAATTCATCTGAATCTGTTCTTAACAATGTAGGTTTAACACAAGGAGCGTGCATCTGTCAACAATTAAAACATTTAGCATTTAAAGAGATAAATACAAATTAAATTTTAATTTATACTTACTGTAATATACTCTAATGCATTTTTGACCATTCCTAAAGATATAATGTAATCTTTCAAAAGTACCACTATGCAGTTCTTCTCTATGCCAGTACAAAGTACACAGAATAATTCTAATATAAATTCATCTTCAGCCGTTCGCTCAAAATCAAATTGATTGAAATCTAAACATTTCTTAAAGTGTTCACACAATAAAGCCATTTTAATATCATTTCCATAAACTAATGCTGCTACTACTCTTGTAAGATGATTTAGAACTGATGGATTGTTTCTTACAGATGAATTATTAGTGCACGATAATAATGCCTGCACATATTCGGGGCCTCCAAATGTTGATGAAAATTGCAAAAATGATGCTAGTGATTCATTTGCGGCTTTAGAAAGTATTGTTTCCATAATCTGTCAGATATAAAATACGTAGATAGTATCAAATATAACAGTAGATATAAAGTAAATGTGTGCTAAAAAAGATTAGCTGAGTATTATTAGATAAAATGGGAGTTCATAAACAAATCCATATTGAGTAACAGTAAAAATAAAAAGAGTTAAAAAATATTGTTTTAGCAATCTAGTATATGAATTAATTAAAATGCCAACTCACATCAAGTAATTGTTCCGTTACAGATGCTAACTGTGAATCTGATTCACTTTGCAGACATAGTTGTAGGACCTATATAAATTGGGTTATTCATTAAATAGTAATTTTTTTGATGTATACAAAAAATATGCATATACATATATATTTATGTATATTTATTTATTTATTATTTAGGCTTACTCACCTTCAAAATACGGATACAGAACTTAGATCCGGCCTGCTAATACTTCTTGGCATTTTTAACTTTTACACATAATCTGAATAATTTAAGTAGCACTTGCAAAAGTGGTCTAGACCTTGAAACATTTTGAATAGATTTAACCTATCAAGCATAATCTACAAAAAAAAAACAGATTTCTTATTCAAAATATTCAACCTATTCCATATCATGGGTAGAATTCGCTCATATACAGCATCAGATATATAGAATAAACATTATATTTTTATTAATTTGTATAATTATCAGAAACCTCTAAGCATCAACATCTTAGGTTTAATATTGAAACATATTGTATATATATAATCAATCCTATCAAAGAAAGGCTTGGGTTTTTACTCAAATCTTGAGTGAACTTTGTGAGCCAGTA